AAGGCTTGAGGACATCTAAAAAAAATTATTTACTAAAAAATTGTCTATATATAATTATAAAAATATTTTACACATAGAAATGTTACAGCCAATCTATTTGTATATAATAAATATGTTATAAATTATGAAACATAAGCATAAAAATATTGTGTTAGTTTTTATTTGTTAATAATGCACAATTTTGATGTTAATTAATTAAATGATGTTAGCTAATAAGTCTTTGCTACGTAATTTCGTAATTAATATTTGTACAGATTTGTTAAAATATTCAAACTAAACAAGTTTTAGCTTTTATAGCTCAGTTCTTTTCAATATATGTATATTGCCCCGATTATTGACTGTTGCTCTCGCTATTTAAAATATCTGTCAATTCTTGTTGTATCTCATGAATGGAGTACTCTATAGCTTTGAGTTTCGACGGAGTTGATGCTTGTTCCGTGGAATTTTGCACTTGCTCCATGGTCATCTGTTGGCGATCGATATAGGTTTATATAGTATGCGTATTTATAAATAGTTCAATCATATCACTCACCTCTCTCAATTGTTTCTTAAGCTTATCACTTTCGTTGCGCATTTTTTGCACCTCTTCGTAGTATTTGACGGTCAGAGGTGAATCGAGCAGACAGCTGGAATAGCGCTGTGCCATTAGCTCCATCTCCTGGTTGCGTATTTCATCCTCGGCGAAGAGCATCTCTTGATTTTGACGGCGTCGCTCGCGCTCCACACTGCGCATCAGCCCATCAATGTCCTTTTCCATTTCCAAGATCTTGCGACGCTGCTCCGTCTCCTGCAGCTTAGACAGCACCTCACATTTGCGTTGTCGTGCCTCCATTTGATAGGTCAGCAACATTTTGCGATGACAGGCAATGCGCTCCTCCTCGCGATGAATGGTGTCCTGATAGAGCTGTTCCATTTCCTTGATGCGACGAGCATGCTCCTCCTGCTTGAGACCCTCCTGAAGGCGTTCCTTCATTTGGATCTCCTCCAATTCCAATTTGCGTAAGCGCGCGTCAATCTCCTGCTGCTGTTTAATCAGCTCATCACTAAGTTGCTCCTGTTGCTCGATCCACTCCCTGGGATATTTTAAAAACTTGGGATAGACGCCCTTGGGTATGGGCTTAAAGGGAGGCATAAAACGCTCTGGATGCACCTCGGTAGCACAATGGCTCATTAGCTTACGGGCGCGGTTCAACCATTTCGTGACATCGATCGGCATCTGCTCGTGGAAGAAGTCAACCACCTCCGACTTTTCAGGCAGACGCATAATTATCTCCCGTTGCATCATATTATAAGCAACAATTACGAATACAATAAAGTATGGAGGATTTGTTAAAATATTGTCCCACAACACCAGCCACTGCTGCTCGTCCAGAACCTCGGCGAAGCCATTGGTGAGCAACGACCAGGCATAATCCTTTGGCTGCACATCCATTGCAGCATAGAACTTGGACAGCTGCTTATCGTGCACCTGCAACACGTTTTCGCACAAGCCCAGATAATTGCCTGGCGGCATTGGATGGAATTCAAAGCATAATTCCATATGGTTGAGCAATAGCGTCACAAGCAGCTCAAATACCACCAAACTATTCTTGGTCATCTGCTTAACAAACGGATAGATAAGATCCGGCATAAAGTCCGTGTGGCCAAACACCTTGCACCAATGAGCCAAGCAACTCCACACTTTGATAACGGCTCGTCTCTGGGCGTCGCTCTTCACCTTTATCTTAGCAGCACGTTGCTTGACCACTTGAGGCTGTCCGTGTTTAAGCAGCGCTTGGAACTGGGCAGTGTTAGAGGGTAGCTCCAGCAACACACTCCATATAATGAATCTATATTTCTCCGGATAAAACCCATACTCAGCGAGCATAGCTTCCAAGCGCTCACGTTTCAGTAGCTTTCGTAGCTCCAGATTCATTGGGCCACTGATAAGACCAGGCAGCTTGGCCGCCGGTTGCTTTAGTGCGGCGCGCACCTTCGAGATGCACTTCGTCTGTGCATGTAGTGAATTATAAAGCCGGCAAGTGGACCATACATTCACCTCACCACTTTTAGACAATAAACTAAGCAGCTTGCCATCACGACTAACACTTAGGCTCAAAGCATTTGAACGTTGCACGATTAATTTGTATTCCGTCTGCATCAGATCGAGCATAACAGCCATGCCGGTAGCTGTGATGGCAAACAGAATGCGATTCTTGGGTTGTGCCAGCAGCACGAATTGCTTCAAAATGAAGTCCCGGAGTTTGAACAGCTTTTCCAAGTCCAAGGATGCTGTGTTGAGCATCATCAAATATCCATCCACTGTGCTCAACAAGAGTTTATTACCATTTGGAGAGAAACTATAGGCAAGTAGTTTGCCATCGGAAAAATGCTGATCATCGTACTTAAATGCCAGCTCATCGTCCAAGTTGTCCTCCTCCTCATCATATTCAGCACGCAAAGCAATCTCTGGTATCTTTGACGTGTCACCTCGCATCAAACGTATCTTGCGATCGCGTGCTTTGATGGGTTGCGAAATGTACACCGTTCCCAGATTAGAGCTGGACCAGAGATGCACCGAGTCATTGGTGAAGCATGTGAAAAACTTATCCGATTTGGGTAGAAAACTGGCAAACTTCAATGTATATCTGGAGTGATCAAACTCAAGTCTATGCGACAATTGCAACGTGGTAAAGTTCAATAGGACAGCCGTAGCTCCTAAGCGTATTAAGGTGTTGCATGCAGTGTTACTGTCAAGTCGATTTCCAAAGGAAACTTCATTAATAGCTGCGTCGCCCACTTTAGTGTGCAGCATAGGTGTCTTTTCTATATTAAAGATAAAGACACAGCCCGATTCAGTACCCACAATGTATTCACTATGCACCAGCGGTGAGGCCACCAACAGAGTTGCCTCTGGCACTTTGACACCCAGACGCCAATAGCGTTTGCACACAAAGTCAAAGATGTAGATGTTACCACTGTGTATGGGATAAAGTGTAAGATCTAGATTTATCTGCATAAATAATCAGTGAGTCTCACCGCCTGTCAATGACAACCAGTTTGTTGCTCATCTCATTAAAGCAGTAAGCAGCAATGCGAATCCTTACATCTTTGTCCACAGATTTGATTGTATTATGCACAGTGAGTATGTTTCTAAATGAAGGAAACATTGAATATATCATACAAATAACCAGAAAATTTATTTAAGATATACCCTTCCTCGTTTTGCTTCAGCTTAAATGGATATTTGTGCATGGGAACATCGCTCAAGCCTGCTGTGCTTCTGTGTAGCTCATTTATCCCTACTTTGTTTGGTTGTGTCTCAGTGGCGAGCTCCTTTTCAAACTCGCTATAGGCGCTGTCCAAGGTAGTTTCGCTCGCCATATCAATTTCCCAGTCTGAATCGCCATGCGTATCGTATTCATCTTCTGTCCCCTCATTTTGCACATTTTCTTTGGATTGGGAAATAGCCGGTCGAAAATAGTCTCCGTGAATCGAAATACTTTTTGCTGGAATTTCCATAGCTACCAAACTTTCAAAAAAAACAATTGACACTGTTTGGTTCACGAGCGAACTGGCACACCTGAACCTATCGATATTCGATACATGGATTTTGCATCAAACAGTTCAAAAATTGTGTGGAACAAGTTCAATTTGAATTTAAATTAATTCTGTCAGTAAATATTTGTGAGCTCTTTAAATCATAAATATTGTTGCATATCAAAATATTCAGCTGAAATAAAATCATTCACTTTGCAATATTCATATGAATGTGAGCTCCGTTCCACTTTCTAAAAAATCGACTGTATATCATTTAAAATTCCATTAAAAAACACCATTTGTGCACGGTTTATAACTATTATGTATATTATTTCAATCGAATATTTGTTTTGTGAATATATTTATTACTGTGAGATTGACTGTCGTCTTGGATGAAACTAGCTGCATTCAAATTGCTACATCCAATAATCGTAGACGGGCGCTTAAAATTAAACTCGATTTCAATTTAAAACATGCCTCCATATGGCGCATCGAAGCCATCGGAGCCATCCCGCATGGCATAACCAAACATGGTTGAATAGTTTATAACGTTTCCTATTAGCGTCAGCGTGCACGCAGTCCAACTTATCTGGAGGATTAAGCACAGATAAAGGTGTTATAGATATATTATAAATTGTATTTCTTTTTTTTGGAACTTACGACAGCCGAATGTGCCAAGACGATGGGCAAAGCAAAGGCGCTCAGCACCATACCAGCAGTAAGGAAAAGGGCGAATTCTGATTTCGGATTTGTTTCGTTGCTTGGGGTAGTTCGTTTCGATATGAAAACGGGCAACACAGACAAAACATAAAACAGCAGTACAAAGAATGGGTAAAATATCTTTGGAGTGGGCAGCGCACAGGCCAAGATTAGGAATGTCATCCCCAGTACCGTTAAAAATGCGCATATAATCAAACTGGAACAAAAAGTGCAGGTGTTATCAAATGCTGGAAAAACGCACACACATAGGTGTGCATATATATACATATATATTGTGTTGCGACTTACACTGTAGGTGTTGGTATTTTCGTTGTTGTTGGTGCGATGACAAGTGGACGGCGGCAAATACATTGAGTGGTATTAGGTAAACCATGTAAAAAGATAATAAATAGTTAGTCAATATCGTTGGGAACGTTATAGCTCCATTAATACCTTTCTCAGATCCCATTTTATTTGTTTATGATTTTTCTTTGTGGCTAGACTAAGAATATGATTCACGAATAACAATAATTAAGTATCGATAACATGTGTACATCAAAAGCAGTATTTTTAAGATTTAATATTATTTAGTATATTTTTGGTAGTAAAACGCGTTTTAAGAACAGAGTTTTTAAGCGGGGTATTCTGTATTTTAAATGCAATCAAAATGAACAGGAAAAAAACAACAAATTTATATAGTTATAAAGTCTAATTGACAGTTAAAGCAATTAAATCTATTTGGAGTTAAATAGCCTGTGGAATATGCGAGAATATTGAGCAGTTACATTTATCGAGATCGTAGAAGTGAAAAAAAAAATTGTTTTAATTAAAAAATATAGAGATCGATATGGTTATTGTAGACTAAAATTCAAGTAATGAAGCGAGTAAGAATATTTTTTAATTTTATTTTGCATGGGATACACTAATTCATAATTGATATGCTCAAATAACTCTTTACCTGAGCTTTCTATATTAAGTGGAAAGTCAAAGATGCGCAGCATTTATACGTTCCTGTGAATAGAAAGCTTTCGGGTTGAAAATTCATTGATAAAAATAAATTGCCCTATCCCAAACGAACAATTGTGGGGTTGCAAAAGTACATGTCAAACATCAAGTGTGTATAAGGATGTATGTATGGGTGTGTGTGTGTGCATGACTACGTAGCGGCCACCTGCTAGCTGTTCAAGGAGTCGAATCTGGCTTCGGCTTTTTCATGAATGCATGAATGTTTATTCAAAGAATCCCTGCACGCACACACGCACACAAACACACTTTCCTGTTCGGACGTGTCGAGCTTTTTTTGTGTACCATTAGAGCGCATGCGCCGGACTGCCTTCAGTGCTCTTTGTTGTTGGGCTCGGCCACAAAAGCTGCCCGCAACATTTAACAGCGCGGGGGCGGACATAACATTTGCGTCACAGCTACCAATTGCTGGTTTTGCTTGCTTTCGGGCTCATTCAGTATAACGGTATACGTCGGCGATTGAAGAACGCAAACACCTTCGAACGAGAAAAGTCAAATACTCTTAATTGGCAGCAGCCACACAAGTTTCCATAACTGGATTTCACTGCAATCAGAAATCTGAAAGAAAAGTGCAACATTTGACATTTGTGGCAGCCGGTGCAGGTGTAGTTGGCATTCAAATATCCGAGCGCAAAGTGCCGAGAGTCCAATTCCAGTTGAGGAAATTGCAAAGAAGATAGAAAATATTGCACACCCACGCGAATTCTGTGACCAGCAGCTGCCTGCTAATTGTATGCCTGTGTGTGTACGTGTGTGTGTCCGTGTGTATTGGTGTGAAAATCAATAAACTCTAAAGGCTGAAAGGGCAACAGCAGCTATGCACGGCTCGCATTAACACCGGCCATATGGTAACCAGTTGCCAAGTGTCTATACCGAAGTGTTAATTGAAAAAGCGAAGAAAAACAATTAAATTGCTTAAAAACCATTAAAACGGCAATAAACAGTTAAGCGAACGAGAGTGAAACGTACTACAATATGGCGAAGCGGATGGATATAAGCTGCGCACTGATTGCAATACTCATGTGCAGCATATTGGGTCACTGCGAGATGTCCGTTTACCCAGGTACATATGCCTAAAAATAGCACAAACCAACACACACATACATATTTACCGCCAGTTAGAGCTACGACTGTGTGTGTGCATGTCATTTAAACTTTTGCGTCGTGAATGGGGCTGAAGGGCGCCAGCAGCCGCTTGCCACTTCGTTTTGTGTATACTCTATACTAGATATGCATGAGTATAGTATAAGTGTGCATGTGTATGTGTGTGTGTGAGTGTGAGTGTGTGGGTGTCTATACATATATATCGCGCATCAAATATGCACGAATCAAACCAAAACACCCTAACACACACACACACGCACACTTAAAAAGCTGCAGCGAAAGCAGTTGGCGTGTATAGGTATGCGTGTGCGTGTATAGGTGTTAAAAGCAAAGCCAACCCAGATGCCACCCACACTATATATAGCCTATCGCCTGCTGGCTGCTTGAGTTCGAGTTAGTTGCAGTCTCAGCTTAACACGCTTTTTATAGCCTACTTTTCAGGGCAGCGCTGAAATTGTAATAAAGTTTTTCCAAGCACGTCACAGCGCGTCTTTATGTGTGTGTGCGCGTGCTCGGCTGTGTGTGTGTGTGCGCGTGTTAGTGTGTGCAGTAATTGGTCTATTTTAAGGCATTGGCAATTAAATTGACTTTTTGTTTGTCTATTCCGGTAGCATATTTAGTTTTATTTGGGCGTGTTCGCCGCAGCTCCAGCCTTACCTCCAATTTCTTTGACTTGTTGTGTTGCTTTCTATTTTTGGCTCTGCTTTTATTTTTGAACAGCAACTGGCACGCAATGTCCGTCTAATTAGCATTAGCTCTTTATCGCACTCTTTGACATTTTAGCATAATGAGAGCCCATGTCCACGCCCAACTGCGTTCAATTAATCAATTGCATTTCTCCTACTCTCTTTCTCTCTGCCAGGTCTGCGCCGGCGGCCTATACAGCCCTCGGCCATGGAGCCGCAGCGTTATGAGCAGCTCATGGAGGATCACGCTAGACGTCGACTGCAGCAGCAGTTCGAGCAGCAGCTGGAGCTGATTAATCAGCAGCTGTTGCGTCAGCGGCAATTGCTTAAGAACGAACAGTATCGTCGGCAGCAGGAGGAGGCCAAGGTGTTGGCTGAGATGAAGAACGATTACGACAGCAACAACAACAACTTGAATAATCAATATGACCAATACGACAACGTGGAAGGGGATGCGGCATATGGCAGTCCGCTGGATACGGTGCCAGATGTGATGCGACCGCCAATGCCCAATTTCGATAGCCTGGATAATAACTACAACCGGATTATTCCGAGTCAGTCGCGTGGCCGCATCGCCTTTGCCGTGGGTCCCAATGATGCGCGCTTCTTTGATACGGCCAACGATTTGTCGGGTGAGCTCGACTCGCGTGCCCTGGACGACTATGAGGAGTATGCACCGGCACCGGACGCTGGCTCCGAGGTGGTGACCGCCAAAAGCAAGCCCCAATCACCTGTGCAGTCCTCGCCGAAGCAGGAGCCACCCAAGCTCCTAGACACGGCCATCGCTAACTTCCATCGCATTAAGCCGCAGTCGGCAGCTGCTGCCGCAGTGGCCGGCGTCAATCTGCCCCAGACCAAGGAGTCACCCAATGAGATAAACGCACTGATTGATAAGCTGCAAAAGCAAAGCAAGTCCCCGCAGTCGGCCTATGCAGTCAACACAGGCGATGCCAACGAGCAGCTCGTCCTGCGTCAGCATCTGGGCATGAATAGTGAGATGGGCGTCTACCTTGTGGCCCTCATTGCGGGTGTCAGTGCGGCGGTAACTGTGGGACTTCTGGCACTGGGCGTTACTTGGTAAGTTTTAGATAAAGACGGGAATGTTAATTGAAAGCTTTACTAAGTTAGTTGATGCTTGAAGAGGAGAGAGAGAAGCGGTAAATGTGCAATTATTTCTCATGGAAAATAACAGAAAATAGTAAAATGAGAGAAAGAGAAAAAAGTTTTCTTAAGTAAAATTTATTATTTGTTAACCTAATCATTTCAACTCTTAATCTTAATCCTTTCTCTTACACACTAACTTGCTAATCATAGTCAACGCCGTTTATATCACTTATTCCCCTAATATAAAAAGCAAAACCGTAATCAGGATAAAAATATTCTTCAAATATTACGCATACGTCGCTTAAAAATAAACCTGCCTGTATGATTATGACTGACAAGGTAGTCTAAATATATTTTTCTTAGGCATTACGCATACGCACTGTCGCACGCAGAAGAGGTCCATACGTTTGAGAGTGACACATAACTTGCTTAAGCATATGTTTCTAGAATTTTACAAGTCGTGGGAAAATAACTCGTTTATTTGTAATACTTAAGTCATTTCCTTTGCATAAGAATTATTTCCGGTTGAATGAAATATTATTATGTTTTCTATACCCTGAACCCATTTTCAATGGGAAATCAGGGTAAATTGTTGTTTATTTTTTTTTTTTATTTTTTTTTTTTTTTTTGACTTTTTGGACGATAATCACTGCAGCTTAATAATAATAACTATTTTAATTGCATATTTGCATATTTTCGTTGCAAAACTAACCCATATGTTAACCTTTCTAACCCTTTACAGGTTCCATAATCGTAGCAAAGCCGCTGCAGACGTCGATTATCCAGCCTATGGTGTAACCGGACCCAACAAGGATGTCTCACCGTCGTGCGATCGCAAGCTGGCGCAGAGCGCTCAAATGTATCACTATCAGCACCAGAAGCAACAGATCATAGCCATGGAGAATTGTCAGGCGACCGACGGCAGCTGCGGCCTGTCCGACGTGGAGAGCGACGACGACAACGAGGAGGGCGACTATACCGTCTATGAATGTCCCGGCCTGGCGCCAACTGGTGAAATGGAGGTCAAGAATCCGCTCTTCCTGGACGAGACGCCGGCCACACCAGCTGCAAGTGTCAATGCTAATGCTAACACCAATGCTAGCAACGCAGCTCCCAACAACAACAACATTACGCAAGCCACGCCCCAACAGCCAGCCACACAGAAGAAGGGAACGGTTAAGCCGAATATGAATCTGTTGAATGCTGCGGCCAATGCAGCTGCCGCTGCTGCTGCCAAAGCCTCTGCCAGCGACGAGAAGAAGGAGAAGCGCAAGAGCAAGAAGTAAATTGTGTGCGAAAGGGACAAGAAACAGTCCGCTTCCCTTTATAACTCCCTCTCTCTCTCTATCTCTCTTGGCCTGGCTTGGTTAAGTAGAACTGATCCATTTTGTCAGCCAACAGTTACACATGAGACACACCCACACCCACACCCACACATATATACACTGGTACGCGTATGTACATAACACACACTCACACAAACACATACACAGATACGCGCGCGTTTGTATAGATTATGTATTCCTAAAGAAAGTCGCTGGAATTAAATTCCTCGAGTCAACAACTAGCTTGAACAGCACAAAGAAATCTCTCTCAACTTCCTTGCCCCCACTTTTGAGTGTAAGTCCTGAACTTATTATGTATATGCATTATGTATCGTTATCGTATCGTATCATAATCGTGTATTGCTATGGTGTAAGACATGCATATAATGTGAGCCCCCTGACCGCCCCCTGACCGCCGCCCCACTCCCTCCGTCCTTGATATGCCCCTTTTTTGCAATTGTTACCTGCTGTGTGCTCCGAAGTCGAGTCGAGTCGAGTCGAGTTGAGTTCAGTTGAGTCGAACCGACCGAGTCGAGCTATTGCGCAGCATTACCTGCTGTGCGGCTGTCAATCAAAAGCAGAATATATTGCACAAATAATAACACATTCATAATGAAATGACAAGCCTTCCTCTCCCCACACCCCCGCTCCTTGTGCATCATATGCTACTGATTCAATTTAAATACAATCCAAACAATGTGTACTTATTTATATTGTATTGTATTTTAACATTTTATTGTACTTTATATCAACACACTAACAAGAATCAATTTTTGAGTAAAAACAAACTATTTTAAAGTCTGCGTATTGGCATTGGAACAAGAAAAAAACAAAAACAAAACACATATAAAATTAAAACGTAAATTATATATTATTATAATTATTATATACATGCATATGAATGTATGTATGTAATATATACCTATTTGTGTAATTATTGTAACATACTTATATACAAAAGCCTAACGAAATTAATTACCTTTGGTATTTCCCCCCACTCCCCTTCCCCTATCCCCCAAAAAGGATAAACAAAATTGATTTACTAATACTTTTTATCGTACTACGCTTTGTGATCTTCAATTATCTGTGTCAATTTAGAAATACAATTCTGGTAACCAAAAACAACACACATACATAAGCATATATGTATATGTGTACACTTATATATGTATGTATGTAATTATCATATATATATATATATTGGAACTATTTGAAAGGCGTTGAATTATTTACAAGTATAACTTAACAATAATTTCCAGCACATTCATGTAAAGTAAATGAAAAACGACTGATAACACACACAAAAAACACGCGTCTATTGTACAAACAAAAGAGAAGAAAGAAAAACTAACGAAATTTATTTATTAATTAGCGAAAAATTAAACGAAACCAAAATTAAATGTAGCTGCTCCACGTTCCAAACAAAGAGAAGAAAAAAGCGAAAATTAACAAAATTAGCGCAACATTTTTCTCAATTGCTGTAAATAAACATGAAACAAATATATATACATATATTTAAACATAAGACACGAACAACAACCACGTAAACAATTGCGGCCGTAACAATACATTAAAGACGCTAGACGAAAAACTCAAGAGTTTAAAAATAAAGCAACTTTCAAAGAAATACAATAATACGAATAAAAAAAAATTAAAAATAAAATCTATGGAAGGAAACGAAAATAAGGAGTCTTCAACTGCTAAGCAGCTTGAATTAAAGCATGAAAAAAACTATTTTATATTGTTTTCAACAATACTAACAATTGGAATTGTACTTTGCTACAATAAAAAAATAATAAAACGAAAAACACAAACACAAAAACCAACTGCAAACGAAATGTTGAGTTTGAAATATATATTTTATGGTGTATTCCGATGAAGGACAAGGCGGTAAACCAAATATATGTGTATATATATATACATACAAATATATATATATGATTGATATCTTGAATGAAATCCAAAAAATACATAACATATATTTATGCATAAAGAATATAATTTAATTTATTTATGTATTATATGATAACCATAATAACACAAATTATACAATATGCATACAAAATAAATTAAACTAACCAAAATGAATTGCATTTTTATTCAATATAATATATAAAACAGGTAGACTTATCTACATTGATTTATTTAATTCAAAATTTCATTCAAATTTCTGGCGCGCATTGCGTAGAGCTGCCACAGTTCGCATGTTAGCTGGTGCTGCCAACTTTCTTCAAACGGAATTGCAACACTAGCAAGCTGGATATTCTAGTGGTTGCGCGGTGCTGGTCACACTGTGAGAACAGAAGCCAATCAGTAATTGCGACAATAATAATTCAATGTGCGTACGCCGCGCGCGTTTTTATTTCACATTAATTAATTAAATACTATTTCAAGTCTTGCGGACAACGAAAACGTGCGTGTAATCGGTTCTGCCGTCACTTCTTATTTTCATATTTTGCTGTGCGTGTAGAGCGAGGGTGAAACATAGTTTAAACATAGCTACAGCTGCAGTGCCTGTCAATTATGCTTGGCTTCCCTAATACAGATGCTGCTGGTGTTGTCGCTGCTGCTGCTGCCGTCGTCTTTGCTGTTGTTGTTTAGGTAAGTTTTAAGTTTTTTTCCTTTATTTTTGGGGCGTCTACAGACGCAAACTATAAATACTTAAGTGTCGTGATCTGCAGTGTGCACTGTCGTCTGGCCCACAACTTTGTCGCATTTGCTATCAAGTGCAAATATTTTTCGACTTGCTGGTGTTTTTTTTTTTTTTTTATGTATTTGGGCGTACTTGCCGATTACGAAACTGAGCGGGCAACTAGTGTGAGAGTGAGAGGGACAGGAAGGCATTTTGCATACGATGTGCTAAGCATTAACCACAGTCTAACGAAACTTGCGTGTGCCCCCGGCCTGGTGGTAGGGGTATTCTTATTCATTGCTATCGATTTAGTTAGGGGTGTGCTCGTTGTTGTTGCGGCTCCGTGGCTAATTTGCGTTATATTGCCGGTAAATGGGTAGAACGTGATTCATCGTTTAGCCAAATCAATAAAAGAAAAAAAAAAAAGAATATTTAACGTCGCTTCCTTGGTGATAAACTTGAGTATTAGATCATATGATAAGCAAATGTTATCAGACACCCACGAAGTGTAGACACCAAATATGCATGTATACACACAAACACACACACACTGCAGCGCCTAGCAACGTCCCTGGGCATGAAATTTGAGTTTCACTTTGTGGATATATTTTCCAGCTGTTGTTTTGCTTGTTACTTGTTAAACAGGATGTGAAGACCGACGCTGAGGCTGAGGCTGTGGCTGAGCAGGCAGGCAAGCCAGGTTGCCAGATGTTTTTGCCTGCCATTTCAAGGCTCCCATGCGTAGCATTGTTATTGCATAGCTCTTTCAGCACTTGCTCTTATCCTCTTTCTCTCTCACTCGCTTGCTCACTTTCGCATTGTTTCCCTCCTGTATGCAGGCACTTAAGAAGTACGCACTTACATGTATATGTATGTATATTGGTTACGATTCTAGTTTTCTAGGCTTGACCCACTTTACAGCGCGCGGATCACAGAAAGAACAGAAAACAAGTGAGAACAATACAATCGGCTGTAGCCGACAGCAAAATACTGTGTAAAGAATAAAAGAAAGAAAGAAAGAGAGAGAAAGTGTGTGAGAGAGAGAGAGAGATAAGAAAATTCTTCCTGAATAAGCTGCTGGAGAGATAAGCCTCAAATTGACTTTGAAACCGCAGCAAAATGATTGTGGAGTTTAGTATAATTTTTTTAGCACAATCTTAGATGATCGCTGTTACTAATCTGCCTGATAAGCTTTTTATTAGCTAAGTCATTTTTATGTAGGTCAATAGACAGCGTACCTATATACCCACATTTCCACTTTGTATACAGCGTATATCTACAAAACGCAGCGCGCCGTCAGCAGAAAGCAAAACCCCAGAGCCAAGCTCATTATTCTATATCGCTTGGCCTTCCTTCGTCTCGGTTCAGCTTGGGTTTTGTTTTGTTTCCAGTTGCAGTTTTTATTGTAGTTTCTCTCGTCTATGATTACAAGTGCTTATTACCCACGCTCGCATATATGTTTATATATATATTATGTACACACATATGCTGATACTAACGCTTACTTAGTCTATATAAATACTTAAATGCACATATGCTAAGCTGCACTTGAGTTGGATTTGTAATTGCAATCGCATGCGTTTAGCTGCTGATAAGCGAACAAAAAGGGCCAGTTTAGCTGTTTTTAATGAAATGCTGAATGAGAAGCAGAAGCTTTACGTTTTGGCACGTCAATGAACGCAGTTGTTTTGCCGTACAGTGTGTATTGATGAATAATGAATGAAGTAATGCAACGACTAAATTTGACTGTCATAGAGCTGGAATAGTTTTTTGTTAGGTAGATGTAGTAGTAGTATTAAAATTCTAACTGAGTTAAGAACATAGATTGTATAAGGCAATATTTTCCAGGCTTAATATTATTGCTTAAAATTCAAGAGTACTTATAATATAAATTCCAAAATATATGCTGATCCTAGAAAAGGAAAATCAGGTTAATAAACCGAATTCTAAGGCAGCAAATTGTTCCCAGAAGCCAACAGTTTCTTTTCCTTATCCAACAAGTAATAATTAAACGTAAACTTTTACAAACAGCTATTAAAATGACATTCTAAGATTAAGTAAATATGTTTGCCCATGTAAAGATGAATTATGTCTTGCCTTGCCAAGGGGTCTTGCACGCGTGTTACCTATAGCCAAAGCTTACTGTATGTGCGTGTATGCACTTTTCACAATCACAATCACAATCGCATTGCCAGCGTTCGAAGGTTAATTCATGCACTGACACCTATACATATTTATGTGTATATATTAAGTGTGTGTATATATAAATAAATACATTTATAACGGAGCATTTCAAAATCTGTGTCGCGGTTATTGAACTTGACGATGGCATCGCTGTCATCTCAGGCGACATCAACTGACCTTGCCCGCGTCAAAATCCAGCAACCCAAATAAGAAAAGACAGAACTTAATGTTGTAAAACCGACGACATAATGACATAGAACTGTGGAATGATCTAGCCGAGGGTCAGTCAGGGGTCCCCAGCCAAGTGTGAGCCAGCGAAAGTTGAGAGGCGCATTCCACACTGGCCCCAGCATTTATCGAAGGCAATTAAAGACGCCAACACACATTCCACTGATAGGGGGGACAGCTACATATACACATACTCTACATTCGCTGGGTGTAAATTAAATTTTATATATATCGGAAAACAGTTCATAAATTAAGTATATATATATATGTAAACTTCAGTAATAAATGCAGCTGACTGTATGATCTGAGCAGCTGCGCATTACAGTGTATTTAATGTGCGGCATTCCTATTGAAGCTTTTCTTTTTCTGTATTTTATTTAAATACAGCTGCAGTCTGATAAACAAGCTATAGTCAACTTTGATTTCCGCGAACTTTGCAGCTGTTTTGTTTGTTTTCCTCCAAGAAATTTATGTAAATACAATAAACATATTTATTTTACTACACATATAACTCTATGTATGTGAGTGTGTGTGTGTAGGGTGTGTGTGCATGTGTGTGCGGAGGGTGGCTGGTCTAGCTGGTGGTGGGCGGTGGCCATAAACAAAAAGCGCCCAACAGTAGCGACGCCCCCACACATTCATGTCCCTGACCACAATATCATTTGTTATTATACAAATTATAATGCATACATGTATATATGTGTGTACGTGCAAATATATATGAATATATATATATATATATATGTAGGGGGTACTTATGTCTAGGTACATATTGTGTCTAAAAGCAGGCAGATCAAAGCCAAAGCAAAACAA